ACCTCTCCTTCGTCAGTTTTGGGTTTCTTTGGGTTAAATTTTCAAGCAAGTCTAGAAAGTGAGGATGAACACCTGAGGAAACCAGGAAAGCATTGCACTGAGCAAGCATTACTGGCGTTTATTCTGCCACTGCTTTAGCTACTGCACCTGTATGTAGCTAAATATTTTCCCATACAGAGCAAAATACTGTTTTCCTGCTACAACACACTGGGTTAAGTATTACAGGCCATGGGTTTTCTTCAGGGGGTTAGACAGGGAGCAGACTAAGTGGTGCTTCTCTGCTCAACCACTTCCCCAACTCCAGAATAGCCCAATGTTTTTTCTAATGTGAATAGCAAAACAGCTGAAAAAGTGAATTTTAGAGAACGAGTGTTGTGCTGCAGAATAAAATTTCCCTGATCTAAAATGCTCTTAAAATTTCAAACCTTCATTAAAACTCTTACAATACTGTTTCCCAAACATATCAGCTTTGGGGTTGTTTTTTTTTTCAGTGTTAATGGAACAGAGAAAACTTGAAGTACCTCAAATTGCTGCTGCTGCTACTTTGGGTCAAGACTACGTGTGGGCACTATTTCAGAATAAGTGCTCTAACCTGTAAAACTTTACTTTTTAACAAATTAAATTATTTAATTCATAAAGATAGCCTATGTCATTATGTATTGTGGTCCAGGATTTTCTTCATGACACATCTATATGCCTCCTGATGTCTATCACTTCCCATAAACATCACAGCAAAGTGTCACCTATTTATCTTCATCTCTCCTTCTACTTCTCTTTCACTACAGACTTCCTACATCTCCAAAAAATGCCTGTACTTCCTGCCACAGTTTCTTGGTGCATGGGGAAATGGCTCCCTCTGCTTCTACATTAAAATTAACATTGCTCTTTCTATGCAAAGGGGAGAAAGTGATGTTTTGCTTCTTTTTAGCAGACACCAACCCCCCTCCTCTCTCCACCCTGAGTCTTTCTGCCTTTAAAGATGAATCCCTTGCAATCTTGAACGTGGTTATTGCACACACAGTTGTTCAGCTAAAGAAATGTTAAGCATTACGGATTAATTGAGAAGTGACCCTCTTAAAAGCAAAATTTCTACTTTTTTTCTCTCTCATCTGAACGTTACCTGCCACAGTGAACAACCATATATATAAATATCCACATACACACATATGCTCACTCTAGGCTATACGGCAGAAGATTAAAATACAAGGCATATCCTCAGTGCCTGGAGAAAAGGAGATGCATTATTCAGAGGAACTAACTACCACACAGTCTTACTACAGAGTAATTAGTAGCATGACTGTTGGGCACAAATTAAAAAAGTCTTGAAAGAGCTACAAAGGTTGAAAAAGCTGACTAAGTATATTACTTGTTATTAGTAAAACATAAGCTGCCAGGTATGTCTTCCAACTTAAATTGTAAGAATTATTTATAGCAGGAATTTTCCCCAATAGCAATAACTGCAAATGATTAATTCATACAGAAAGCTAAGATAATTATGAATTATTGCAAATTCAACTCCAAGCACTAAAAATAAAATGTAAATCTTAAAAAGAGACTGCTTTAAAAAGGATTACTTTCACCACAAAAGTCGGCAAGGCAGGGCATTTCTCAGCCTGGGTTCTGAGAACCACAAGTATTTTTTTCTCAATTTCAGCATTTAAGGAACCTGTAGGCAAATCAGCAAAGTGTCACTTCTCCCCTGTGTTTGTAATGACATTGTGCTGCTTCCCATGGCAGCACCCAGGACATCTTTCCACAGAGGAACCTTCAGATGAGGTCAAAATGTTGACTGCTCAGCAGCAGTATTCTCCAACACCATTTCCAGGCTGGTAATAATTTATCATATCATTGCATGTGTGTTTATAGCTATTTTATTTGTCTGCATAGTCCACCTGGCTACACAGGCTCTATGGCACTGCAAAGGTGATTCAGGAGAGTCTACCATTCATTCTGCCAAAGCCTAAGAGTCACATACCACGTTAAAACATTTTTTTCATCACCAGCTTGATGATGCTCCATGCCTTTAGCCCATGCCCTACTGGCTTCGGGGTGTTTCGGTCAGAGGGGAGTATTTATAAGTCCTCAAAATTCTGATTAATAAATAAATATGTGCTTTGGGAACTTATTTTGGAGTTTATAAGTATTTCTTATAAATTTCTTATATTATAATACAGTTATAATATTATTAAATCTGGCTATAATAAGCTAGGTAGAGACTCAACAAAAGTAAAAATGAATAAAGTTATAATATTATTAAATCTGGATATAATAAGCTAGGTAGAGACTCAACAAAAGAGGTGGAGCTGACTAGCATTTTTCAAAGCATGAAATTTGCTCAACTGTTCTGTTGAAAGCTCAGATACCAAGTGGAAAAAAATCCCACAGCTTTTCTTCTCTCCTTTTTGAGCAACCTTAATTAGCAATTATATAATAGTAAAAAGTTCAATAGGAAAACCAAATCATCAACAGCTTTCCAAAAGTAGTTGCTGATTTGGCTGTGCTCCTATTTCATTTCCACTTGTTCTTTGGTAGATGCAAAATCATCAATTAAAGATAAATAAATGTTAGTGGGGGGGATCATTATTTGCCTGAATATGGTTCACACCTGCAGAGCAGCAAACCTAGCAGGTACCTGACCTGCTCACTTCCCAGAGGCAATCACAATTTAATCAATCAGCCAGATTTGTAAATCAATAGTACCTGTGCACGATTAGGCACCTTTACATGCAAATAAATGTATTCAAATACTCTCATTCTTATCCAGGCTAACAGTGCAGGCGTGGTTTTGCATATCTATTTTAACATTGTTTGTCAATCAATCAATTGGCTGAGGGCAAGAGGAACTAGGAGAGCAGGAAAGAGGAGTGATTTAAAGTCCATCAAAGCGAAGTGGCCAGATGCTGTCAGTGTGAGTATCAGCACCACAGCAATAGGTGGATGAAGAGGAGAAAAACTCTAGAATAAAGACTGGGAGGGGAGGCAGGGGGGTGGGAGGTTCACCTTGTCACGGAGGTGATACAGAGAGAGAAGTTGCTTTTGCAGTCACGTCCCTCATCAGAAATGGCTGGAAAAGCATCTTGTTTCTCTCCACATCTGCTTTCTGGCAGGTGACAGCAACAGCAGCACTGCTGTCAGTTAACTCTCCAGTGAACTGCTGGGGACACAGAACATCCAGACCTGTGTTTTCCTGGTAGAATATTGCTATTGACATTTCACTGAAAAGAGGAGAAATACTCCAGAATAAAGAACTGGGAGGGGAGGCAGGGGGGTGGGAGGCAGAGCAGGAAAGAGGAGTGATTTAAAGTCCATCAAAGCGAAGTGGCCAGATGCTGTCAGTGTGAGTATCAGCACCACAGCAATAGGTGGATGAAGAGGAGAAAAACTCTAGAATAAAGACTGGGAGGGGAGGCAGGGGGGTGGGAGGTTCACCTTGTCACGGAGGTGATACAGAGAGAGAAGTTGCTTTTGCAGTCACGCCCCTCATCAGAAATGGCTGGAAAAGCATCTTGTTTCTCTCCACATCTGCTTTCTGGCAGGTGACAGCAACAGCAGCACTGCTGTCAGTTAACTCTCCAGTGAACTGCTGGGGACACAGAACATCCAGACCTGTGTTTTCCTGGTAGAATATTGCTATTGACATTTCACTGACATGCCCATTCCCATATTAATGGTGCTTCTGCTGCTAACCAGAGCCAGTATTCTCCTTCTCCTACTGCACTCCACACAAATTCTCAACTCAAGGATGTAACTTACTGCAGAAATGCCTTCAGGATCTATCCGGTACTTCGAAGACAAAACATTTCTCCCTAGTCCAGTCTTGTAGATCATAATTTTTTCCTATTTCCTCTGAGCACAGAAGCAGAAGCTCTGTTTTGGAAATTTAACTTCAAACATGTATGTGCCCCACTCCTGAAGTTGCTGGTCAAAAAAAAAAAGGGAAAGACAAACTGTTTACAAGCCATCATTCAAGAATCAACAGCTTATTAATAGCCTTGGGTGATATTTGCCATGTACCAATATGACAGGTTCCACATAAAAGCAATACGTGGCAGACATGTCAAACAAAATCAAAACTACCTACATGCAAACAAAAGAGATAGGTGCTATCAGCATATCCTCTCCTTCTTTTCATTATTTTTAGAAAAATCTGTGTGTAGCCAATAACACACTGTACTGAAAATTTACTCCCATTCCCACGGCCTGTTAAACTTCACCCAGAGATGGGTTAGGACCTAAGAGAGCAATTTAGACCATAAACATTGATCTTCTACTGTTACGCACATTAGCCAAATTCCACAGTGTAATTATCTTCCGTTATTCCTGAAACTGAGTGTTTACAGCATGAAACGGGTGCTGCTACAGAAGCACCAGCGTAAGTTCAGACGCTGCTCCAGAGGAAACCTGCATTAGTAATGAAATCACGTCGCACTGAAAACGAGCACCACTAAACTGGTTAATATACACAGCAGGGAGTGGAGTTAAAGACATGAACGATTTGCATAGCGATGCTGCCATCAGCTTCTGTCTGATGTTTGGCTCTGGGACCATTAAACTCTTTAAGAGACTTCCCTCACATTCCGTGGGCTTTGCCAAAAGTGAAGCTGAGGGAAGAGAGTGAAGCGAAGAAGAGTTCGGTATTGGGTGGTGTATTATGTCATATGAAAGACATTACACATACAAAAAATCTTTGTTAAAACGTGTTTCTTGCTCAGTTCAATGCACAGCAAATCCCTTTTCTAACATAGATTGAAAAGAAAAATCCCTACTGATGATGAACACACGCCCCAGGCTGGGTACAACGCTCAGACTTCTGTGCAGACAAGAAAAACGAGCGATTTAAACCCCAAAGGGTGCAAATTCCTCATTTCAGGAAAAAGAATCCATCAGTGGCACGGATTGGCTTTGGCTGGCCGATGGGGCACACTGCCCGCCTCTTTGAGCGGACGAGCCCTGACTTCCCCCTCCCCACACCTGTAGCCTCTTTGGGCACAATTTTGGTGGCCACGCCAAATGCGGTAGCCCCGCCCGCAGCTCTGCTCGCCCCGCAGGGGAAAGGAGGGGAGTCCCCCCGCCCTGCGCCAGCGCTCCCTGGGCTCACACGGGGACCAGAGGTGCCGCCTCCTCTTCTTCCTCCTCCTCTTCTTCCTCCTCCTCTTCTTCCTCCTCCTCTTCTTCCTCCTCCTCCTCCTGCCCTGCCGGCTCTCAGCGTGCGGTTGGACGGGGGACCTGCGCCGGGAGCGGGGTGCGCTCCCCGGGGGGATGGATGCGCGGAGCGGGGTTGCGGGGGAGTTTTGCGGGGAGGGGGTGGGGGGGCTCCCCTCCTCGTCCCCCCGCTCGCCCCCCTAATGGCCTTTGTGTCTCTCGGCAGCGGGAGGCGGTGCGGGGCCGGGGAGCATGGCTTGGGGCGAGCTCAGCCTCCTCCGCTGGCTCCGGGAGAGCCGCCAGTCCAGGAAACTCATCCTCCTCATCGTCTTCATCGCCTTGCTGCTGGACAACATGCTGCTGACGGTTGTCGGTAGGTACAACAGCTTTTGGGGTGCTTTTGGGGTGGTTTTTTGGTGTTTTGTTTGGTTTTTGTTTTCCTTTTCCCTTCTCGGTTTATGCCAGAAATAATCCCCAGTGACAGATGTACTCCCCGAATGCGTGATTAATGCTCTCCAACCCAACATGTTAAAGCACTGATTTTTATTTTTTTTTAATTGTTGCTTTTAATGATATTCTAGGCATTGCAAGCACGCTGCCATACACACCAAAGTCTTGCTTTATTTCTATGTTAATTGCAGGATAAGGAATGGTATCAAAGCGTCTTCATAATTCCTTTTTTTTCTTTTCCCCGCTAAACGCCGTTAATGCTTCACAGAACGACAGATAACAGTATTTTTAGCTCATCATCGTTTTTCTTTTTTTTTTCTCCTGTGGTCATGCAACTGAAACAACAGGCTAGATAACGTTAGAGATGCCTGTTTCCTTGCGATAGTTTCTCTTTCCCCCACATTTGTCTTAAAATGATAGGTTAACAAGAAAGCTATCTAACTGGGTTTTAAGAAAAGCACTTCTATGAGTTGGTTTAACAAAATAATAAGTATAATAATAACATAATAAGTCAAAGATGCAACTTTTACTGGCTTCAGTGGCATATGTCAAGATTTAGGAATCAAAATACTTGGCACATTTTTCACTGGTGGTTTTAGAAGTCCTTGTATTCAAACGTTTATATGAATTTAAAGAAAAACATTCAGAGAAACTAGTGGTTCATGGATGCACAGGGGCACACACGTGAATGCACATGCTTCTCTTGGAGGTGAATTGGGCTGTGCAGAGCCAACTCTTGGATGGTGCTGCAGCATCCCCTTCTGAATCAGACTCCTGAATTTCTTGGGAGTGGGCATCAACACCTTAGTTCTGACTACTTAGTATACAAGTGTTGTGGGTTTTTCCTTCTTGTGGTTGTTACTTATCAATATTTTATGATTTATTTTAGAAATGTATTTTACTACATGCTTTTCTCGTCTTTCATGTTTCCACAATCTGATAAATGGACTTTTGCAGTTATGTGCAACAAAGAGACTCTTCAGACATGGGTTTTGATACTTATGTTTTGCTTTCTGAAAGATACCTGTGTAGAAAATCTTATACTTATGAAAAGTGACAAAAAATAAAGACTAATGTAAAAGAACCTTTTTTTGGTTTAAATTGCACTTCTGAGTTATGGGTGTGTTTTTTCCCATGAGCAAACTTCTAATTTAGTTCTGTGCTTCTGCCATGCAAAATCCTCGCTGATGTTCTCTGTAGGAAAGCCTTGTATTTCCTAATAAATGGCAAAACAAACAAGAAAATTTGGTGATTCCATTTGTAAATAACCTGACAGTAAGATGCCAATATTATTCTATTTGTTTTTCCAGTGCCAATAATTCCCAGTTACCTTTACAGCATCAAACATGAGAAAAATGCCACACAAATCCAGACTACTAAGCCCAACGTAGTCTCAACAACGATGGACAATTTTCAGAGCATCTTCTCCTACTACGACAACTCCACGATGGTTACTGGAAATGAATCTGATAAGACAGGACCCAGAGAGCTGCATCACACTCAGACAGAACAAATGATAGTAAATGTGACTCCTTCCCCGTCTGATTGCCCCAAGGAAGATAAGGACCTGCTGAATGAAAATGTTCAAGTTGGTCTCTTGTTTGCTTCAAAAGCAACGGTGCAGCTAATCACTAACCCCTTCATAGGGCCACTGACAAACAGGTATGTTATTTCTGCTACGTTACTCAGGTAGGAGTTTCTATTGATGTTTTAGTCTGGACTAGTGTATCAAAACAAGTATTTTTAATTCTGTTGTGGCCCTGACTTACTGGCCGTTTCACTTTATCTGGAGAAATATTCCAGTGAAATATGTTTGAGGAACCCGTCTTCTAAATGCCTACACCCTTCCTAAAATAAACTGGTGAACTGCACATGAGCCATTTATTACTTTCAATATCCTACACTTTTCCTTCAGCTCCTTTCCTGGTTCCTAGAAACTTTTTCTGAAATGGCACTGAAATATCTTCAATACAGCTACATGGAGCCAAAAGATGATACAGCTCAGTATTTATAAAGCACTGTGAATTGATGAAGTATCTGTTACACCTACATTAGGCAAATGTGATGTTGAAGCTGTGGGCAGGGTTCAGGTCCCTCCCTTGCTCTTGCAGCCCTTAGTGCTGTTTGGTATTCAATGATTCAGAGTCTTTTGAGGCAAGAATTGGTGGGAAATTCATGTGGACTTCAGTGAAAAATGAGCAAGTATCAAACTTTGTTGATGCCATGTTCATCACTGAGTTCAGTGGATCACAGGTTTCCATCAGTATGTGATTTAGCCCAGCCTTCAAATTTTTCTTTCTAAATTCTCACAAAGATATGATACCATTTAAACATTTTGTTAAATATATGTTATAGAAAATCTATTTGAGCCAGGATCAAGGGTTTGAGCACCAATATCCATCACTTATAACCCCTCCCCCAAAAATCTGAGCATTACTCATGCTTATCATGGAGACTAAAAATTATTTATAATTTAAATTTCTGATGTTAATTATTAATTTAATTTTATTATTAGCTTTTTGTGTAACTTTTCCCCACAGAAGCAGCTGCAGTCCTCCCAGACCAAATATGAGATCAATTTCTCCAAGAAATAAACTCCAAATTGTATTTAGTCAGGTCACTAATTTTCATATTTCTTAATTAGGCTGTTTTTATAAAGAATAAATTTTCCATTGAGAAAATATGCTTCAGAAATTTGTCCTTGTAAACCAGTTTTGTTTAAGCAGTCAATGGTTGCCATATGTGGCAATAACCAAAACAACCAACACCTTTTAATGCTTTGTATTTCGGGTTTTGAAGCCAGAACTACTTTTCTTAGATTTTATAGCTTATGTGTATTATCTGAGTGTTTAATTTCAATCTGATAGTAACCTACTGGGGGCTAAGTGATGGTTTGATGCACAGGGTTATGAATTCAAAACCTGTATTGAATCTGTGGAACTGATCTAAACACAAAAGCTTTAAATGAAATGGTTTCATTCCCCTCTCATTTCACCTTATCCCCTGCTGCATCCCGCCTACACAGACAGAAGTATGTCGTGGCAAAATTATTTTTCCACAAATATTGCTGCAAGTTGAGGAGGTGAACAGATTTGTGTTGTTACCTGGATTTTCTGTTTCGTGAGGATATGATAGCTCATCTACAGGCGAAGCAACTTAACATCAAAAAATATTTTCAGAATAGCTCTTTAAGTATTAGTCTAGATTTTCCTAATTGTTTAAATTACTGCCCTATTGATATTTACTTTTCTCTGTTACCGCCACCATTTCCCAACCTGCCAAATCATGAGAGAGGCAACAATATGCTCCACGTTGACGATGGCTTTTTCAATAGCACGGTTACATCATGCTGTAGATACCATCTCAGCTCTTCCTTTGGTTACCACCACCATTTCCCAACCTGTCAAATCATGAGAAAGGCAATAATATGCTGCATGTTGTAAATGGCTTTTTTCAATAGCACGGTTACGTTGTGCTGTAGATACCATCTCAGCTCTTCCTTTGGTAGACATCTGCCTAAGTAAGAGGGCACGTGTCCCTGCTGGAGCCTGGTGCTGCCAGTGCCAAGGCAGGGGGGCAACACCTTCCCCCTGGAGTTGGCTGCAGGGATTTAGGTGGTACATCCTTAGGTTTGGCACTGGGGCTGTAGATGTTCCTGTAGTATCTCCTTTCTCTCTTAGGAGCAGGACTGGCAACACACCAGCGTGAACACCAGCACCATGAGCTGAGGTTTCCTCCTGGAAACATCCCATGGGGTTTTTTGCAGGGGACTGAGAGTGTGACTGCACCTACAGGGGCAGGTTTGAGAGCTCAGATGCCCAACGAGTGGGAGAGGAAAAGCAAAGAGCACATCACCCCAGCATCCTGTGCAACAGACTCTTGTCTCGTACAGCAGAAGCGAGTGCCTTAGTGACAAAGTGGCCCTAAATTAGATTTAAGGATTACTGGTGTTTTGTTGTTTTTTTTTTTAATGCGTTCTTTGTATCTTGCTACCAGGGATCTGCCTTTCTTCTGAGAAATGCTTAGTGGGAACTATCAGTTAACACATCTATCAGTTAACTGTAGAAGTCATCGGAAAAAAAAACCCCAAACCCTAATGTTGACATTTCTTAATAACAACATGTACATGATCAGTAAAAAACAATGTGGAAATCATAATCATTATAAATGAAACAGAAACTGAGTTATCGTTATAAAGACTCTTCCTTACCACTGATGAACTGTTTAGTGATAATTGTTACTACCGTTATCAATTTTTTCAAAATTTCAGCAAAATATTACAGCTTAAGGAGAATTGGCTACGTAGTTCAAGATTAGTGTGCACGGTCTGTTAAGATGCCCAGTAAGTTTCTTTTTCAAATAGATAACACACTGTGTTCATGGTTCTTATTTTCAATCAAGTATAGTTGTTCAGGAGTGGTTTAGATTTTTAATCAAGCATGGAGTTACTGGTTTCCAGTATTGGCTTTGAGTGTCCGAGTTTGTACAGGATACAACAAGATGTTCTATTCATAAGAGTCTGTGCCAATTATTCCTTTATTTTAGGTTTTCTAGAAGTTTTGTATGCTGTTTTTCCCTTTTTTTTTTTTTTAATAACTCCTGGAGGTGTAGGCTTTTAAAATAAACTTCAAAATCAGTTTCATTCAAGAAGTGAGTTCTGCTAAAAACTGAAGGCTCTGCCTAACCCTTTCCAATGAAGAGAATAGGCGAAAGGCCGTTGTGTCCTCTGTAATAAACTGGTTTTCTCCATTATGTTTTTCAAATTCACACTGAGCTCTATGAAGGAGGCTGTGAGCCCAGCTGTGCTAGCCCCACAATCCACCAGAGCCAATGAATGTCTCCTTTGCTACATCTCTCCCTCCCTTTATTCATATTGGTCTTAAAAGTCATTCAAAAACGAGCAGATATTTTCATCATTTTTACACCATTCTGGCTACAGCTTTGAGTGACTTTGCATGAGAGAGACAGTGGCTAGGACCATGAGCGTGGAGGTGGAGATTGCAGGGACCGCACTCCCTGTCCCTGCAGGTTCTTCTCTACCTTCATAGACATTCAACAATTCATTGGTTCACAACTTCTAGGAAAATACTCTTCTTGCCATACATCCTCCCCAGTCTTCACTGGCAGTGAAGATGACAGCCAGACTGCCCACCAGGACAGATGTAACAAGGGGTGCTCATGGTGGTACTGGTGTAGCTGTGCGGTGACAGGTTTGAAAATGGGATTTGCAGCACTGTAGTGAATGGATAATTAGGCTCTAATCACCCACAGCTGCTAACCTGGTCAGTGTAACTTTTGTTTTACTGCTGCACAGGACCCATCAATTGGTTGTCTTATTGCATGGTAACCTTATTAATGGGCATAATAGACTTCCAAACAGTCCTTCAATCTGGGGTCAATGCAGCTCTGAAACAGACTAATTTAGGCATTCTCCATCAGTGGCAGCCTTTCCTTTTCCTCCTTCATCTAATGACTTTGGCTTTTTCAGAGGTCAGGAATACTTGCAGGAAGCAGTTTTATCTGCAGGTAGCCTCAGTGAAACATGCCACCCTCTGCTGCAGGTTCTCTTGGAGGGTTTTGAAAGGAGTGCCCAAGAAGATGACGTGCTTGAGTGTGGTAATGAGGAAAAAGAAGAGACAAGACAGGCTATAATATTATTTTCTGTTGCACGCATGCAGAGGAACAAAATGTGGAGATAAGTGTGATGGGGCATGTCATGTCATGACTGAGAAGTAGGAACTGTATGTTCTCAGGTTTCGCATGGCAAGAAGATGAATGGCCCAGGACCATTCATGGATCACTGAATAGCTGTCTGTTACACGTAGGGCCTCTCTTTCTTGTGATTATTTATGTTATATAGTGTAACTGTTCAGCAATACCTCTCGGTCTGTGCTCTCCAATATCTGTTGGACACACCAGGGAATGCAGCTGCAGATTAGACCTTTGTGGGGGCACAACTGCCGACTAATTAGTGCTGCTATTTCAGGAGGAGGCAGGGTTTGCTAAGATTATGCAGGAAAAGACAATCTGCATATCTAACCAAACGTCAGCTGGATGTGGGTAAGACTGTGCCCTGAGAAAGAGCAACCACGACCTGTAGAGGTTCAGCAGTCTTGTGCAGGGGCAGCCCACCAGAATCGGGCATCTCCAAATTGTGGGTGAAGCTCCAGGCAATTTTTAGCTTTCCAGAGGATTATAATGACCTATTAAATTCCAGGCAGATGCATGTCACGTGCTGACCTGTATACCTTTGCACGGTCTTGTATGATGGATCACTGGCAGTGCAGACTTTGCACAGCACTAGCTGTGCCCACACCAAGTCTAGTTCTGAAATGATACGTCAGCTGGATGTGGGTAAGACTGTGCCCTGAGAAAGAGCAACCACGACCTGTAGAGGTTCAGCAGTCTTGTGCAGGGGCAGCCCACCAGAATCGGGCATCTCCAAATTGTGGGTGAAGCTCCAGGCAATTTTTAGCTTTCCAGAGGATTATAATGACCTATTAAATTCCAGGCAGATGCATGTCACGTGCTGACCTGTATACCTTTGCACGGTCTTGTATGATGGATCACTGGCAGTGCAGACTTTGCACAGCACTAGCTGTGCCCACACCAAGTCTAGTTCTGAAATGATTAATTCCTCTGTGGAAGAAAAGGTATATGTGATAAAACAAAATTAACAAAATTCAAATAAATACTATGATGAGACATATAATGAACATCGAGCCCTGCATTTCAGAGAGTTTTCCATTATCAATGGATTTCAGATACAAAGTCTGCTGTGCAAGGTGAAAAGGCATTTGTAACATGGACAAGTTTGATCATGTGGTCTACAATACGTAGTTCAAAGCCTACCAAGGTACAACATGTTGGGATTTTCAGTGTGTGTGCGCTCACGTAAGTTGAACTCAAAATATCAGTGGAACAATCCCATAAATGTGGCTGTTCATTTTTTTTTTTTCCAGAATAGGTTACCAGATTCCACTGTTTGCTGGCTTCTGCATCATGTTTGTGTCAACAATCAGTAAGTGTCCACATCTTATTTGGTCTGGCCCAGGTGCAACTTTTAAATGAATTATCCATAATAATTATCAGTAGGAATTCTTCGTGTTGATGTAGAGGGCCTGATTTCCAAGGAAAATGTGAGAGTGGCTGCACCATATGGCTGGTGGTACTGGTGGGGTTTGACAAGTGTGCTCTTACGAGTATACTCTAAGGAGTCCACCACCTTCCATCCCACCTCAGCGTGCCTCTTAGTTGAATCTTTTTCTCAGGTTCTTGTAATCTGAAGTGGTGCTCAGTTTTAAACTGATAGCCATGGGAGGGCTATTTTGCAAGGTCCTTGACAAGTAGCTGTTGTGGGGGCTTATCAGAGGGATCATGAGGCTGCAGTGGCTCACGAGCAGAATACGAGTCAACAGTATCATAGCGTTGCTAAACATCGCTGGGGGATGTGCAAACAGGAGCACTGCCTGCAAGTCAGCTGAGATAATTTGTCTGCTCTAATGGCATTGATAAGGCTTCAGCTGCTGCTTTATGTTCAGTTTTGGCATGGCACTTAAAAGGGCAGTCCAGGTGGAAAGAGTCTATGACAAAATCCGTACCAGAGTCCATGACAAAAAGGAAGGGAACAGTTTTCCATGGCCACTGTACATAAGAGGAGGAGTAACAAGCTTAAAAGTGTATCATCAAGGAGACTGAAGTGCTGGAGAACAGCACTTAGAATCTTAGAGTCACTGACTTCAGAGAGTTTTCCATTATCAATGATCCTTACTTGTATAAAAATTATATTAATTAAAAAAAAGAGCTCAGAATAATTAGGTTGGTTTACCTATGTCAGGATTGTTATTATTAAAAATAAAAAGGAATTATAGATTCTTCCATTATTTGATTGACCTACTTAAGCCAATGCTGCCAATATAAATGCCCAATACTGTCAAATTGGACATTGGAAGTTGAAGTCAATCAGTGCCCCTTTGAAAAACATCATCCATCATTGAAGAATTTGTCCATTAAATAATGTCTTTGCAACCACATTTGAGGTGCACATTCCTACAAAAAAAAGGAAGCCGTGAAAAAAGTGTGTGAAATAGAATATACAGCTTGTCCTAAGAGCTACCTGGGTAGTGGTTTTGATTCTAGGGTAGATTTTTAATGGTGTGAAAAATAGTATATTTTGAATTTTTTCCTTGAAATTTCAGTTTTATCTGCTCAAAAAATGCATTTGCTTTCCAGACAGAATATTCTTTATTTCCTGGAAACTTGAAAATTCTTATAGGAACCAGGCATTTCTACAGGCTATTTAGAGTCCTAATGAAGAAGCAGGCTGATGAAGAAAGCTCTGATCAGCTCCATTTTTCTCCTAAATCCATGGAAAGCAAAAATATTATTCTTGGGCTCTTTGGGACTCTTCCAGTGCTCCTGGCTGAGGCAGAACTCCCAACAAAGAGGGTGACAAATTTTTCCAGTAAAAAAGCTATTGGTTTGACCATGTCTCATTATAGTCATTGTCTCATGAGGGTGGAAACAGATGAGCATTGAGACACTACTGGGGTATTTCAAAGCTCAGCATGCTCAGACAAATCTTCCATTCTCATATCCTTGGTAACCCCATGGAGGCCCAGAGGGGCTTTATTAGGAACAACTGTGGTGGAACAAGAACAGGATAATCTGATTCTAATGAGAGAAGGATTTCTTCCAGGGATTTCAGATACAAAGTCTGCTGTGCAAGGTGAAAAGGCATTTGTAACATGGACAAGTTTGATCATGTGGTCTACAATACGTAGTTCAAAGCCTACCAAGGTACAACACATTGGGATTTTCAGTGTGTGTGCGCTCACGTAAGTTGAACTCAAAATATCAGTGGAACAATCCCATAAATGTGGCTGTTCATTTTTTTTTTTCCAGAATAGGCTACCAGATTCCACTGTTTGCTGGCTTCTGCATCATGTTTGTGTCAACAATCAGTAAGTGTCCACATCTTATTTGGTCTGGCCCAGGTGCAACTTTTAAATGAATTATCCATAATAATTATCAGTAGGAATTCTTCGTGTTGATGTAGAGGGCCTGATTTCCAAGGAAAATGTGAGAGTGGCTGCACCATATGGCTGGTGGTACTGGTGGGGTTTGACAAGTGTGCTCTTACGAGTATACTCTAAGGAGTCCACCACCTTCCATCCCACCTCAGCGTGCCTCTTAGTTGAATCTTTTTCTCAGGTTCTTGTAATCTGAAGTGGTGCTCAGTTTTAAACTGATAGCCATGGGAGGGCTATTTTGCAAGGTCCTTGACAAGTAGCTGTTGTGGGGGCTTATCAGAGGGATCATGAGGCTGCAGTGGCTCACGAGCAGAATACGAGTCAACAGTATCATAGCGTTGCTAAACATCGCTGGGGGATGTGCAAACAGGAGCACTGCCTGCAAGTCAGCTGAGATAATTTGTCTGCTCTAATGGCATTGATAAGGCTTCAGCTGCTGCTTAATGTTCAGTTTTGGCATGGCACTTAAAAGGGCAGTCCAGGTGGAAAGAGTCTATGACAAAATCCGTACCAGAGTCCATGACAAAAAGGAAGGGAACAGTTTTCCATGGCCACTGTACATAAGAGGAGGAGTAACAAGCTTAAAAGTGTATCATCAAGGAGACTGAAGTGCTGGAGAACAGCACTTAGAATCTTAGAGTCACTGACAACTCTGCATATTAGGAACACATTAGACGAATTTTGGTTGGGATGGAGGTAACAATAATAAGCCTAATTCATGGCAGAGGTGAGTACTGTTGACTTGCTGTCATATTTCCTCCCTTTATTTTTCATAATTTTTCTCTCTCTGCATGGGTAGGGATTTTTGTATGAGATGGTGAAAAGCCTGAGAGGCACAATGCCACAGGGCAGGGGGGAGAAGTACATGGAGATCTTGGGTTTAGTTGGTATGTAAAAGCTTCCCCCAGCTAGAAGCTGCCTGGCAAAATTCCTTAGGTGGCCAACAAATATGAGCTTTAAAAAGTTTTAAAAATCTTACTGTAGATTTACTGATACTGACCTGGACAGAGGCTCTACAAGCAGAGATGGGCTTGGGTTTCTGGGGCACTCCTACTTTCCAGTATAGTGAATGGGGAATTTAGTTGGACTGATGAACAGGGGCTCTGTTCCCAAAAAGGCAGAGTGGAGCCCAGGGTGACACCTCTTGGGGAGAGATAGAGAGGCACCTTCTCAGGTGCAATTTCTCTGGTGGTTGGCTGTTGGGGGGATCAGGAGCTTGCTACAGCCCTTGAATGGGTGAAGATGGCTCCCCTGCACCCTCAGCCCTTGCAGAGCTGGCAACCCCAGGGTAAAATCCTCTCTCCATCCATGTACTTACTGGAGGAAACATCAGTGTGTGCACACAGGTAGGTGTGTGTGTGTGTTAAATCCCACTTTCCCCAAATACCTGGAGCTTCAGGCTGGGCAGCCTTAAATGAAGCAGTGGGAGGAATGGTCTTCTAACTCCTTCTGTGTGCATCTGAATCAGAGCAGGATGTAATCACATCCTAAGTAATTAGTTAAAACCCCTTGTGAGCTTGCATTCTCTGTTACCAGGAGGCTTAGACACCTGGGAGCAATTCAACACTGACACATCTAAATGCAATAAGAGAAAATAATGCAGTTAGCATTGAAAGTGACACAAGTCACTGTAAACGCTTGACTAAATTGTATGAAGTTTTTGTTATAGTTTCAAGAAATCTAACTTTTTAACCTAGTTAGGGTTAACCTAATTTTAAAAATTCACCTCTGTTTTTTTCTGCAGTGTTTGCTTTCTCTGGAAGCTACACTTTACTGTTTATTGCCAGGTCCCTTCAAGGAGTGGGTTCCTCTTGCTCTTCAGTGGCAGGTAAGAGAAGAGATGATAAAGTATAGATCGCTTGTTCTGTCGCTTTTAGTCACTTTCTAAATTGTGTTTTGTCTGCAGTTTCAATAATTAATGCAAAAATATTTAATTAAATCTATTTCATGGTTCTTCTGCCCCTTTCATATCAAGTAGCTCAAAGGCAAATGTCTTTTCAGACTTCCTTGATATTTGGGTTGCAGTAAGGTAGAACACTAAATGAACTGCACTCTCCCTGGGATTTCTGCATCTGTGTCTTCAACGCTTTAAATTAATTTTTAGCCATTTTAAAGGTCATTGGGAACTTATGTTGATACTTATTGTCGAAGGGATAGCAGCTCTGTCTCCTACTGAAATTTCTGTTACAAAATCTTGTTTTCAAGGACTTACCATGCCATCTGCTGGTTTGGACTCAGTTTCCCTGTACCAGATTTGCAATGCAAGGTTATAATTTTCAAATTAGTAGATGAAAAGGGGTAAGGGTTTTTAGCCCAAATTATTCAACCATGACTGAGACAGGAGAAAATATATTTTGTTCATGTTAGAACGTTTCACAGTCTTCTATTGGAAAAGCTTCCCGTGATGCAGAAATATGAATTTGGCTCAGGAAGGGAGGCGAATACAGTGTTTTGTCAAGAATGTGTCTTTTGGCTTCCTCAGGCAAGTTCCCCCGTCCAGGTTGGACTAGTCTATAAGCAGGGTTCACGTACACTCTGTAGAAAATTAACAAGAATTTGGCAGCTGGATTCCTCCTAGGTTCCTTTTGCAGGGATTTTACTCCAGCCCACATCTGGGTAGTGCTGCTTGGGGCAGCTGGGGAGATGCAACACCCCATACTGGAGTTCAAGGCAGGAGCAAGAAGCACCTTATGCTGAAGATGGGTTTGAAGCTGCTCAACAAGCACCAGTTAAGCAGAGAGATTTAAGCCTGGATGAGCAGTGAAAGGAGTGGGGATGTGACTAAGGGAACAGGCAGGGGCTGGGATGAGGAGCCAGGGATGGGGAAGGCAAAGACAAGCAGGATGGGTTAAGACAAGAAAATCCATCCCTTCTCCTTGTACCAGTTAAGGATACAAGTCAAGCTTTTCAAAGGGAAGACATATCGGAATCAAAATTATTGTTCACCTTTAACTCAGTCCCTGTGGAATTGTGCACCTTGAGATACAGCTCTTAGGAGAGTATGTGACTTTTTTTTTTTTGCAGACAACCTATAAAATAGAGCAGAAAAAGCCAAGAGATCATCTAGTCCACCCCCTTCCTGAAGGCTGGATCAGCTTTGTATCTATCATTCCTCATGTATACTTGATAAGCATGTTCTCAGAAGAACATGCCTAATTCCTAATTCCTGTAGTTGAGAGAACATGAAAACCAGTTTATTTTCTTTATCATTGTGGTTCTTTTTCATATTGCAAGACTATTATCACATAGAATCATAGGATGGTTATGTTGGAAAGGACTGTAAAGATCACCCAGTCCCAACCCCCCTGCCCCACCAGACCAGGTTGCTCCAAGCCCCATCCAGCCTGGCCTTGAACCCCTCCAGGGATGGGGCAGCCACAGCTTCTCTGGGCAACCTGGGTCAACATCTCACCACCCTCACAGAAAAAAATTCTTCCTAATATCTAATTTAATCTCCCCTCTTTCAATTTAAAACCGTTATCTTAATCCTATCATTAGAGTCCCTAATCAGGAGTCCCTCCCCATCTCTCCTGTAGCCCCTCCATGTGGAGGGGATCTACACACACATACATATATGTATTTGTATTCGTATATAGAGAGATACCTGCTGTCATGTGTGTATAATGTTAAATAAGGGCTGGCAAATGAAATTATGACCTTAAACTATAGTACACAGCTGCCTAATTTTGTGCTGTGCTCTTTTTTTTTTTTTAAAGTCTTAATTCTTTTTATTTTTTCTTTTAGGGATGGGTATGCTTGCCAGCGTGTATACAGACGATGAAGAGAGAGGCAACGCAATGGGAATTGCACTGGGAGGCCTTGCCATGGGAGTATTAGGTCAGTGAGACGGGGGCTCTGCTGGTGAGAGAAACCACCCCCCAGCCTTCCCCAGACCCTGTGCTTGTGAGCCATGAGAGCACCAGGAGAGGTTCATCTAGTGCAATGTTACCGTGTCATCTCCAGATTAGACTCATGGTGCACGTTAACTATCTTCTTACACAGATACACATGAGATGTTTGGGTTTCGTTTACGTGGAAGAGTATTTTGGGGAGTGAAGAATGCAGTTATTGTCATGATCAGTGAGCTTTGTGTTTAGGGGTTTTTGGGGGTTTGGTTTTTTGTTTGTTTTGTTTTGTTTTGTTTTTTAAAGAGCTTTTTGGTCACTGAGTGCCAAGAGAAGGATGCCCAAATGCTTGCAGAACATGGTTGCTCAGAGATGTGGCTTCACAACTCTGTCCTTTCTTTCTCCCTGGCAGTTGGCCCACCTTTTGGGAGCGTCATGTATGAGTTTGTGGGGAAGAGTTCTCCTTTCCTGGTGCTGGCAGCACTAGCTCTGTTAGATGGAGGTCAGTAAATTCGAAGAGTCAATATCTCCACGTAGCACATCCCTTTTGTATTCTTACCATCTAACCCCCTTCTTGAAGAAATGTTACAGTATTGATTTCTTTTCACAGCTATTCAATTATTTGTTCTGCAGCCATCCAGAGCACAAGCAGAAGTAAGTATTAACGTAAAACACCCCGGGCAATGGATGACACTTTGCTTTTCCTAATCCCAAGCTTTTGTTTCATAGAGTCAGAAGGGGACACCGTTGCTGACGCTTTTGAAGGACCCGTATATCATCATTGCAGCAGGTACCAGATCCTTTTTGTTCTGTTTTGTTTTGTTTTTCTTTAAACTCTCTGCTGATGCTGTACCTGGCATTCCGGAATGCCTCAGGCTGAGCTGGTTTGACGATATTGTCATTTTCATTAACATAAAACTCAAAGAAAAAAAAACAAACATCTGTTGGTCACACAGGATGAATATACCAGTAGAAATAGAACAGGCAGAAAGTTTGAAATGTATGTGTCTTTCCAGCTGAGAGGACACTAAGGGCTTGTGGTTACTTGCTAAGGCAATGAGATGTGGCCAGGAAGCTTTCTCCCAGGCTTTGGGAGGGAGGGCTTGCCAGTACGTTGCAGATGTAGGGAATAACACTCAACTTAGTTTCTGTTTGAAGAGGGAGTGAGTTTGTTCTCTAGAGCATGGGTTGTGTTTCAGGGTTGAATGGTGAATGACGTTTGGTATTAAACGTATCATTTTTCTACTGAGTCTTTCTGTCTCAAGGGAAGTTTACCTTTTTGCAGTGTTTCGTCAAATGTTTATTCTGAAGTCTGTAATTAAGGCCGGCCCTTTTCAGATATTTTATGAACGTTGAAAAGAGATTGTAATTTTTACAGTTTTATTCCTTAATTCTAACCTGTTTGTCCAAGGAAGCGATACTTCCAGGCATTTTTTGAGTTTGCTGTTTCTTTTTTCAGAGCTGAATGCCAGATACCAACAATAAATTCAGCCTTTTATCTGGCTTACTGGTGCGCAGAAGTCCAAATGCAGACTTCTTGCTGGAATACAATGTTCAAGTGTTAAGTGCTTCAGTTGGGAAGTTGTTGCTTTTTACAGAGGAAAGGGTCTGAAAGTTTCGTTGGCTCTCCCACACCACAAGGAGTTTGGTGTTTTGCTTGCTCTTTTTTCTAAGATGGGAACTTCTGTTCCTGATGTTAACGGGGAAGGGTGGGTAAGCGGTTGGTTGGGACAGCAGAGTGGTTGGGACAGCAGAGTTAGCTCCATGCTCTGAGACCTTGAGGCAACCAGTCAAGGAACTGTGTCCCATTTCTCCACATCTAAGCCAGGATACTATGTCTTCTGCTTCACAAGGATTCTGCAAATGTAAATGTCCCACGATGTGTATGATGTTCAGATACAATGATTAGAGAGAAGGCTAAAAGTACCATTGGTTTTGCACTGCTGAGGGAGATCAGAGGTTTTGAATGGCTTTTAAACCAGTTAATGACCTCATTAAAAAATTGACTGCATCTCTAGTGGGCTGATTTGTTAACCACAAGTAAAACCCAGGGCCTTTGTAGGCACACTGCAAATGGACTAACAGTTTAAGTGTTTCTTGCACTCCCGATTTAGGTACACTAATTTCACGGTATAAATTCAGATTCAAGTCTCCTGAGTGTGCGTCATACACTTGAGTCATAATTGTTTGTGTTCTCAAAGTACAAGCCCTTTCTGACCAATTTGGCTTATCTATAGCACAATATTAGTCTTTAAGGCAAGACGTCTTGAACTCGAGCATGATGTTCCTCTCTCTCTGTGATGTTTTCCCTTGATGACCCGTGTTGCCTGTGAGCTAATAGCATCGTCTGTCAGAACAGACCAGAGGCCAGAGCTCTCGTTCACTTGTGGTGTGTCACAGTCCCTATGGCCAGGCCAACTGCCTGGTCCCCTCCAGTGCCAGCTAGAGCTACTGCAGGATGCTCTTTGGCCGTTCCTGTTGAACATCCACTCACCAGTCCAGGTGGGGAGGTCACAAAGATGAGGGTATCAGAGGGACAGGACCAGATATGGCAAACTCACATGAAAACCTCTGCAGGGAGAGGAAATTCGAGCAAACACAGACTCTGCCTCCTGTGTGCATTGTGTCAGAGGTGATGCTTAAAGGTCAGTGGCACCAGTACTCACTGGCTTAGGTTAAAGAAACATTATTGACGCTTTTCATCACTCCTAGAGGAGCTCAGTGAATGAAGTCAATGTCATTCTTGCAGCCAGACCTCACTGACAGGGACCAAAGCAACTGTATGTGCTACCAGGTGACAAAGCTGCATTGACAGGCGATTTGGTTTAAACTATCAGATCCAAAAACCAGAGTTGAGACAGACATCATCATGATCATGTGGGTTCTTGAGAAGGTATGGGACAGCTTTTCACTGCATACCTGCTTTTTCAGAGAAAAATACTAATGATGTCTATGGCACTCTGCCAAAAGCCGAGTGGGTTCTCAGCTGTGGAGATGGGTCTGGCTGGAGGGTTGCAATTTCACACCTTCTGGCCAACACAGGACATTTAAACAAGAGACAATATAGGATTTATGCCCTTGAGACGTGGTCCTCTAAAGTGAGGTCAGCTCCATGCAAGACAGAGGAAAAAAAAAATTTATCTTCTTTTGGGGAAGCTTTGCTAAGGTAGCACGATCTCTCTTGGACTTTGCCCTGAGTTTGCAGAGTCCCAGCTCAGGCTCTCACTTTTCTTTTGGGGTATGTCCTCAAGATCTGAAGTACCTTTGTCACCATGTACAGGGGTGCTTTGGTCAGGTCTGGTGATGCTTCCTGACCTCATGAGAAGTAGATGCCACACACCCATGCACGCCTGCTTCTCATTTCTTTGTGAAGTTTGTTAAGTGTAGAATAAGACTTTTGCTATTTAAGTCATCTCTGTTAGAATGGCCCTGCTTCCTCTGCCTGCACTTTGTGTGGCTTGAAATGTTTTTCCAGCACCAAGAAAGCTGCTGGAGTGTGGCTGATTTCTTTTGCTTGGGAGAGGGCAGCCCCAAGGTGTTCCACTGGGGCTCCTCATGACTCTACACTAGCAGGAGCTTGCACCAGAGTGGAAAGGTTGGCTTCAGATCTAACCTTTTGTCCGTAGGGTAAAGCAGCACTGCCCGGTTGCTCCTTGCCCTGGGAAGGGAGTGAGCCATCTGGCCTGAGAGTTCATTTTAGGAATCGTGGGTGCACAGACTAACACATTCTGACAGGTTTGAGCAAAGAATGGCATCAGTGCTCATTTCGTTTTGAACTGCACGACGAGGAACTTGTTCCAGGAGAAATAATGTTTCTCTGACCTCAGACAAATGAAGGTTGGCTGGTCTTTTTTTTTTTCAAATGTAAAATTTGGATGGTAAATGACTGTAAGAGTCTAGAAGATGTTCTTAAATTTCAGAGATTATAAATATTAGGAAGAAAAGAAAAGTGGTAACACAAAGTTGAGGCTGTTACTTCTAGCAGTGATTTCCAAACTCTCTTTAAAGCCATTTTGTGAGGGATTAGCAGAGGAGACATGTCCCATTGCCTTGCATCAGGCTTTGACTGTCTCGGGGAGTTTTGAGTAAGTGGGAAAGACATCTCGAATCCAAAGCAGTACCACAGGGTTTAATAATCCCCCTGCTAAAGCTGAAATGCACTACCAAGGACAGACGGACGTGACACAAGCCCAGTGGAGCCTGGACCCGCAGGCGGTGGAGCAGGGCAGAGCTGAGCTGGTGGGCAGGACTGAACCAGCACTCCCACCGCTTGTTGTCCTTCCAAACTGGGGGACTGAAGGTCCAGAAACTCAAAAGAGATTTGGAAGGATTTGAAATTCATAGGGCTGGGCAAGCTCAGCCAGACTCATGCTTTGCTGCCTGGATTCCTGGCTGCCAGCGATGGGAGCTCGGCACAAAATTCCCTTTTATAGGGACAGACAGCTCAGTGGTTGTCTCTTGGTATTTTTAGGATCGAGACCTCCACATCTCATTATAGTCAGTCTCAGGTGACGGAGGCAGAGGGTCAGAGCCTGTGCCTCTTACACAGTGGGGCTCCGGTCTTGCCCCAGGAGACTAGATAAAGACCAAAATATTGTGGTTTTAGTTAATCATTTGTACAACTGTCAAACCTCATGAACTTTCTAAATGTCATCAAGCTCACTGCAGACTTTCACATTATGAAATAGCTTAACCTTTATTGTAGATTTTCTAGGAGAATAGAAGTATATATAAAGTTTGTCTTCAGTGATTTTACATTCTGTTCTTTTTAACATTAATCAACATCTGATACGTGAAAAATAGGACTGTAAAGAAGTGCAATGTTTTATGCAAAAGCATCTGTTTTTTGCATGTTTTTTTGTTCATAGTCAAAAGAAATAATTGTGGGTTTTTTTCCCCCCTCCCCTTCTTTCTCCAAGGATCAATCTTTGTTTTTTTTCTCCCCTCCCCTTCTTTCTCCAAGGATCAATCTGCTTTGCAAACATGGCGATCGCTATGCTTGAACCAGCGTTACCCATCTGGATGATGGAGACCATGTGTTCAAAGAAATGGCAACTTGGTAAAGTAGAGTATATTATTTGCCTTGCTATGTTTTGCCTAATGACCCTTTCAGTTCTGATCCTGTTAATGATGGTCTCCTTATATGCTTCCGGGTAGCCTTTTTTTTTAATATCTTTAAATTGTCAGTGTTATACGTGCACCATTGCAAGCATCAGCTTTGGTTTTTGTTTTTTTTTTTTTTAAAAGTTAGTGGATTGGTGT